TAAATAAATAAATAAATAAATAAATAAAGGTTTAGAAGATTCTTTAATACAAGCTAAGATATTTATAATACTGTTAGATTTTTAAAGTCCTGCTATAAGATAGCATGCACCATCTCATCTCAGATTTTTTGGGTGTATATATAAATACAGACACATAAAAAAGACTGTTATCATTAATTCATTATCTATGAAGCAAGTAAGTTTGGATATACCAGCTGTTTGGAGGAAATGGGTCGTAAATGAGAGAAAAGCAATGAACACAAAAACAAAACACAGTGAACACAACTTCTTTTGCCGGAGTTGAAATACCTCTTGTTTTAAATTCTAGTTACAACCAATATGGAATTTGGAGTGTCTTATTAATGATACGTCCTCCTTTTGGGACTTCAAATGACCTCTGGAGGCCAATTAGTTATTCTGTTCCTAAAACAAACAAACAAACAAAAAAAAACAAACTGACTGAACTTCTTAGTGAGAAGTTTGGATCAGGTTTCTGCACCTGCAAAGGTGGCTCATTTGCTGAGTCTATAAAGCTCCCACATCCTCCCATCTACCCCAGGCTCCTGATTCAGCATCCGCAGTGCTCAGAGCACTGGCACAGCCAACAGAAGCTTTGGTTTGTACAAATGCCAGGAAGCACTGTCCCTGCACTTGATTTAGCATTTCTGCTCACTTTCCACGACATTAACTTTTAGAGAGATTCAACAACCCGCAAGATGCAGCCTAAGGCAAGAACTGACAAATAGTAAGAATAATATATGAAAGTTGTTAAATCTGTGGCATAAAATTCAAAGGCTGGAGTACATATCAAATTACAAATGCACTCTCTGTTAATTGGACAATTATAAAACCTGAGAAACACCATGGCCCCGGGGTAGTATTTATGACTAAGGCTACCCATAAATATTTGTCAAGAGGCTTTGTCAAGAGACTGAAAATCCTAGTTCTCTATGCTGCACAACTCAGCCAGTCCACATACAAAAGGTGACAGTTATGCTGACAATCACTAGCAATCCAGAAAAAAAAAATCCAATGATGTTTCCCACTTTGTTTTGTCTCCCTGTTTCCTCTCCCATACCCAGGGTATACGTGGACACTGCTTAGGATCATTGGCACTCTTCAGACTATCTAAAAACCAGAGTTTCTTCCTGTAGCCATTTCAGTGATTTTTCACTCTGACTGGTGGCAATCACTGTGTTTCTTACATACAAATAATCTCTCTTACTTTAATCTAAACCCACTTGCTCCTTACTGATCCTCCATGAAGAGAAGAAAAGTTAGTCTCCAACTGAAGGAAATCAAGCCCCCAATTACCTTTACACTGCATGCTTAGTGGCCTTGGACAGGTTTATTGGCCTGCCTCAATTCCTTCCTTTGTACAACAGGTTTACTGGCTCTGCCTCAATTCCTTGCTTTGTACAACAGG